GAATTTGGAGAAGAAGTTTTTCACCGTGTAGAGAACAATCCATTCACAAGTGACACACCAAATGAACTCCTCCAAATAGTTGGTATGGGATGTTATACATGAACCACTACTTAACCCTTACCATTTATAACAAGTTTAAGCTTTAATTCCGGCAGATTCTCCATTTTCATTGGCTTTTTGCCAATGGTTTTTGGGTCGCAATTTAATGGAACCTTACTTTGCAAGAATGGTATTATCTTTTGATGAAGCTTGTTTTACGCGCTATGGTTATTTTATGGCCACTTGCACCGTAAGTTTAACAGTGGTTTATTTTTTAACACAGGTTTATTTTTCATAACTGCACCGAAAAAAATAATGTAGTTGAGTTAACATTTGCCTAAATGTCATTTTTTAAAATGTTGTTTCAACAAAAAACCTATTGGATTAATCTATATTTTGGTGTTAAAGCAAAAGTCAGAGTTTGTCAAAGTTTATTTGTTCATTTGACAGTTTAAATATTAATTTAACATAAACTAATATTTTGAATTAAAATGTTTATCGTACCTTGATTTAATAGCTGGAATTTGTTGAATCAACTACTGAAATTTTTAGGATTACCTAAAAAAACTATTAAATTAACGTTTAGTTGCTCTTTAATCCAAAACTTTAAATTTGTTCATTTAACAAATTTAAAATGTTACTTTAAAATTTAAAATGTAAAATTTGCATTCATAAAATTGCCGAGAATGGCGCTTCGAACACTCACGCCACGTCATTAGACAATGACGTTTTCTTACATCTCGCCTTAGTTAGCTTACGATTAGGTGTATATAAGATGAGATATCTGTTTGTTTAAGGTGTGTTCCACAGTAGAACTTTCACTACACCATATTGCCCGACACTGTTAAGACCCTCAATACAGGGCGAAACAGTCTGTCGGTATTTGAAGTAGGTGGAACACATGATACAAAGATGTATCATGGGTGGAACACGCTCAAAACAAAAACTCTGGGCGAGGTGAAGGTTCAATTCTTTCTATTTATATATAATAATATATTATTTCCTTAATTTTGTTTTGGATACCAACCTTTAAAGAATTTTACATTTTCAGAATGTTAATTTAACATTTTATTGGTGTTAAGTGAATATGCTAAAAAGGTTACCTGGACATTTCAAGAAATTTACCTTAACACCCTAAGAATGTTAAATTAACCAAATTAGCAGATTAGAACAAATATTCTTATTTTGTTCATTTGACTGTTATTTGTTGTTCAATTAAACAATACAATTTGACATTTTTAGATGGTTAAGTAAACGTGCAAAAACCATTGCTTGTATTTAAAGTGCATAAAGAGTTGAATTAATATTTTTTTTGTTGTTTCAACAGCTTATTTTTTTCAGTGTGGCTTGCACCGTAAATTAATCCTTGTTTAAATACCTCTAAACTACTGTTAAAATAAACCTTCAATTTATGTGGTTTAAATTACTTTAATCCACCGTTAACGATTTATATCCTCAAAAGTACTAGTCATCGGTATTCAAGATCTTTTTTTTCCATACACAAAAAAATCTAACATAGTACCAAGAACAGCGCTGTCATTGAATGCATTAAAATTGAAGCAATCTAAATTGTTATTTGCTCAATTCATTACTATTAAACCAAAATAGGGAAATATTTTGCCTAAATGTCAAAGAATTTATTGCGTTAAATCTATACATAGTATACATACAATAGCAACGTTATTAAATAAATCAAATTAGTATTTAATGCAATAACATTCTACCATTCTAACAAATTAATATCAATATGAATATCAATAGATTTAGGAGCGATAACTTTTGTTGTTAATTTAAAAACAGTAAACGATTATAAACCAAGTGCTAACTACCTATTGGTATTATAGGAACTGTTATTCAGGAATACGGATTACAAGATCCCATTGGTTTAATGGCTCACCCATTCATGCTATGCCAGAGTTTTTTTTGTGTAGAAATTATTTATTGACATCTTTAGCAAATCCAATAAATATAGTTATAGGTATAGAGGTCAGCAACTCTATAATGAGTCACTACTAAGAACCAGAAATATAATAGAAAGAGTATTTGGAATTTGGAAAAGAAGGTTTCCAGTGTAGGCATATGGCTTAAGATTAAAACTAGATACAGTTTTGACCATTATCCCAGCTGTAGCTGTACTACATAATTTTGCTAGAGACATGAATAAACCAGTGCCGCCATTGCCTGATGATATTAATGCCATGAACTGGAGTACGCTGTTGTTACTCATCCACAAGATCGCATTATGTTTCAAAATCAATTAATACAAAATTATTTTTCGAATTTATAAAATTTAATGTGAATAATATTTTGTGTTTTATTACATTTATACTAATTTAAAATTAAAATAAAATAAATAGTCACTTCTTGTTTATTATTATAATATATTAAGTTTTTCTTTTTCTTCTAAAATTTTTAAATCCGAAAGAGTCATTTCTTTTTCATCCTTTTTATTGTTAATTTTCTGTTCTAATTGTTTTAGGCCTATCTGTCTCTTGGGTTTCAATGATACCCTTGTATCCTCAAGATTAATTAAATGATTAAGTTATTAGCACCAATCTTTTCCATTTTTAAGTCAAATTCCCTAGATCACTAGTTCAAATTTAAACCATAGTTAAAAAATCACGGTGCAAGATTTTGTACACTAATCCCCTGTTACCTTTTAAATTTTTAGAAAACGCCAGCAAAAATGTACCTTTAAACAGCGTGTGGTTTTAACATGAATTTATAATTTATACTTTATACTAGTCATATATTGTATAGTATATTGTGTCTCAAGGGCAGAAAACTAGCTTTAGCAGCTCGCGGCTATTAACTGCCTGAGCGAGCGAAGCGAAGCGAGGGCAGTTGATAGCTAAGGGCTACTAATGCGTTTTCTGAATGTGTGACACACACCTGTTTTTCGCCTAGCATCAAACAAATTATTTTTTTAAATTTTATTAAAATAAACGGAATTTTATAAAAAACTTCAGTAACAATTTACGAATTTATTTATTGTTGTAATTAATGTTAATTATGCTTTGAGCACAATTGTGGATAGTACCAGAATTTGAAGGCTTATTTCTACAGATGAAGTTGATGTTTCATTAGAATTATCTTTGATCTTTCCGATAGATAAGCAACTAATACATTTTCTGTTAAGTTTTTGGGTTTTTGATCCTTTTTCCAGTTTTTAAATATTTCATAGCACTTTTCGTACCGTTGCAACGCATTGTCTTAACAGCTAGCTAGCCATAGACAAGGGATTGGTTGGGTGGGCGGGGGGTTAGTTAGATAGGCAACTTAGTATTAAAGTTTTGTTCCCTGACTACTGCGCCATCTAGCGGGTGTAGTCAAAAATATATATTAAAATTATTGTTTAATTTTTTTACTGGATGGTACTGATCCTTTTTTTTACCTCCACTAGATAAATAATTCTAATATTTTTCTAGGAAAGTTCAAAGAGGAATAATAAAACATAATAAAACTACATTTTTGTAATTATTTTATTTGTCAAAATTATATAAAGGCGAAAATTCAAAACACAACTTAAAATTATATCTACATTATATGAACTTATCTAACTATTTCATTCCTATTCCTATTCCTATAATATTATTGTATAAGGTAATAGTATATTACACTACAAGGGCAGAAAGTGTGAGATTCCTGCACTGCGCGCCATAATGCCCGAGGCGAAGCCGAGGGCATCATGGCGCGCAGTTCAGGACTCTCACACTTTCTGCCCGTGTAGTGTATACTATTTTTCTTACTACCCTGCAGAAAATACGGGAAAAAATTAAATGTATATAAAAAAATTTGTGTCAAAATTAAAATCTGACGTTTAATTTAATTCTGACGTTTACATTCAAAATCAATCAAACTGTAGCGTTGTCATGGTAATTCAGCGGTGCCAATACAGTAAAAATAAAAGGTTGTATTTTAATTAACAAATTACTACTTTATAACAAATAAAAGTACCATTAAACACTTAAAACAACATAAAAAGTAAAAAAGTAAAAACATAAATTGTTTATTTGTTGTTATAATTGCAAAATTATGGTTTAAAACTGTCATATTTTTGTGTTTCTCATGTTGGCAGTACGAAATTTAAATGTTAAGCATGCGACTAAAAATTTTTACTCCCGCTATTAGAGTGTGCGCGTATAGCTTGACCAATGCAAGAAACGTAAACTTTCTGCCGTGAAATCGGGGACGAAACAACGTATTTTGAGTCGAGGTAGTAAGAAAAATAAATTTATAAATAAAAGAACAATAAAAATTTTAATACTTAGTGCTTAGAGAATCAACATATTTTTTGTTATTTGTGCAAAAAGCGGGACATACCTTATCGTTTTTTGGAAATCGATGCATTTTTACACTATCTCCCCTGCTTTTGTACTTTTGTAGACAACAAGAATAAACCATAATAATAAATACACAATACAAACTTAAAAGGTTTTAAAATTTAATACTTCACAATTTTAAGTTATTCGTTCAAGTCGAATTATTATGACAACTGTCATAATGACAACGGTAGTCTCGATAACAAAAACAATTTTGGCGATATTGGCGCCTCTGGTAAGCGTAGTCTAAACTTCTCAGCGGACAAGTTTTTGTACAGTAAAGATGCACAACCATGTAGCTAGCTTCCTCTTTTTCAAATCTGGTCAAGTATTCGTAAATTTTTCGTCACTGTCCGAGTTACCATTCCTTTTCACTTTATTACAAAATTTAAATTAGGTTTTATTGTTATTTTATACTTTTGTTGTCCGTTTTTATTTTGATTTACACAAACGTCTGAAAATCTCAAATGTCAAAATGTCAAAATGGCAAATGCCAAAATACATAAATGTCAGTCAAAGGTGTCTAGAATGTGAAAAACTAGGGACGATATGAGTTTAGCGACCCTAGAGACAATAAATATTATTTTCGGTCATATTTTTAGGTTTGATATGATTCATTTTTATATATATATTTTTTAGAGACGGCGGAGCAACATGCGGCGCCAAGCCTGCAGGTCCTCGTGACAACATGAACTCATCGCCGACGGAGAACACGTCTATCTCGAATGCTGCTCCGCACGAGGCTATCTACTCTATTACCCAGGTTGTTTTAATTGGAACAGTAGGTAAGAATACAAGCAAGAACATTAAAAAACTGCCCATTTAACACCTAATATTTTGAATCTGTTTAATTTTTTCTTGTATACAAGAAAAAAATAAACAGATTCAGAATCATATTGCGAGTCACTTTTAAAGGTACATCTATTGGTGCTCCTTTACCTACTTTTGGCATTGGCCGCCAGTGCTACAGGTTAGAGCTTTTTTGGGGAATCATGTGGCCATTGATTACATTAAATATCGAATCGTCGCGAGATTTCGGTAACAAGAAGATGATTTATTAGTGCCGCGGCTTGCCGTTTGTGCGTACAGAGCGGCTACCGAAATACATGTATTTAATTGTGCCTGAACATAAAGATGATGGACGGGGTGACATTCCTTAGACCGCTCAACAGCCTAAACGGACAGTACTTTACAACTTATTAGTATATTATTAGTTACTTTAAGACAGTATGCATGAATGTATGAATTTACAGGCAGTCTGTTAAATTTTTGACTTCGGCTAAACCTTCGGCTCGATGTTAGCCAAAACATATTTTTTGGCCAAAGGTGGCATTTTTGGCCTAAGCCAATATTTTAACTTTTATTACTTATTATTTTTAATAGGATCTTCGAGCTTAGTACGGCAGATTCGAGATACTGTCATATTATATAATATATAATATATAATATATAATATATAATATATAATATATAATATATAATATATAATATATAATATATAATATATAATATATAATATATAATATATAATATATAATATATAATATATAATATATAATATTAATATTAATCAACTTTTCACGTTGAAAATGGGAATAAACCACAGACCTATGGAATAATCAACTTAAGATTGGAATTTTAACTAAAATTGGAATTCAAACTGTCATACGTTTTGCAAGTCGAACGGCTGTTAAGTTTAAACTTTATATTAAATTAATTAAAATGCCTTAAGCCGGTCACAGACCTGACAAACGTTTTCATTCGTTCGCGTTGCCAGCAATCGCAGACGCTCGCAGTTTTGATCGAAACGCAAACGTATCTTTCTAGGGGCTTCCCACATATATGAGCAATTTCTAGCGTTTGTGACAGTTTGCACTGACAAATTTTATTCGCAAAGTTCCAATTGCAATTCTTTTCTTTTGTGAAAAAACTTTTTATTTATGAAAAATGATGTGCAGTTAAATGTATTGTTTACTAACCTTGTATTTTAATAATGTTATCGAGCGCCACCAGTTGGCGCCCGCGTTGCGAAAACCCGATGCTTCTTTAGTGTTTAACGCCAAAGATAACAGAAAATTCTCTAAAATAATTCCCAATGATATAGAGTTAAAATTGTAGCTTTAATCAGTTGTTAACAGTCACTGTTAACGCAGTGTCGTGTATATGATCGATAGCACTTAGTTAGCCTACATAAATATTAGTATTATAGTCGTTTTATTAACTATTATTATTATTAATAGTTATTTATGTCATTGGGTTAAGAAGTAAGGCTTTTTGTGCTAAGCTCAAGGTTTGAAGGCCGACGCGTAGCGGAGGCCTACAATTGAGCGAAACACAAAAAGGCACTTCTTGGCTGAATGACTTACAACATTTTATCTCCAAAGCACTTTATATACATAGGTCAATTTAATTCAACATCAAAGCGGCCTAACCTTACTTTTTTAGAATCTCATTTATTTATTAGCTAAAGATTACATTAAATTTTCAATAATTATTATTGCTTTTAGGGGTCTATTCTGTAACTTTTTAGTTATAAACAACCCTGGTTAAAATTTCTATAACCAATAAGAAAATAGCTCTAGAGATTTTAATCAGCCCATATGATTATAACCCAGGGTTATTTATAACTAAAAAGTTACAGAATAGACCCCTTAGAAGCAGTAATAGTTTGACAATACCTAGCAACAGGATTTAAGTAGAAATGGATTTTTGCTATTACATTGAATTCAATTAATTGTTTAATATAAAGGTAGGTATCTAATTTCAATTTGTTTGAATTTAAAAAATAGGTAGTTTGGAATGTTTAAGCTGTGTTTAACATTTAATTTCACTGAAAACTTAAAGCAAATTAAAACTTAAAGATAATTATAATTTAAATCGTAGAATAAGAATCGTGCGTTTTCTTGGTTGCCTAACCTCACTTTTTGTTTTATTATTCATATTTAATTTTAGAATATTAATAAAGTCCTACCTTGTGACTGGTGCTGATGACGACACTCAGGGCCCTGGTCTGGTTTCTGGCTGTTAGCGTTGGTTTCAAGCGGTGGAGATGCACAAGCGGGATAAAGCGGGTATAATATTATATGTCGCGTGGTAGATCACTCTCGTTCGCGGATGCTCGCCGTTCGAACTCTTATTGCTTAATACACTTACGCCCTCACGCGGTCAAAAATAGGTAATTAAAAGAGTTGCGATAAACATGCGCGTTGGGGGGCAATAAGCTGAATATAATATTAAAATACATGTAATAAAATAAACAAATATTAAATATTTCGCGAAGACGAAACAAAAATATTAAACATTAACAGTAAAACAAACAAATTAGTGCTTATTATAAATAAATTAAACCAGTTTAGTACGTTAATTTTTTAGAAAAGGATTAATTTGTCAAAACAATACCCCTAGCGAGAAAAAATCGAACTAATTACTTGCCTCATAAAATTTTTTATCGGCCTAGGCCATAACATGGTATTTCTTTATCGAATGTTGACAACAATAAAGTTTAAATTATAGACCGCGTGGAGATGAATATTTTTATGTAACTATTATATTGTAACGTTTTTATCGGTTCGCAATTTTACTGTAAACGATACATTTTACGGAAAAACTTAAAAAAAAATGTTTTCGTAAATCGTCTGCTAATTTTAAAAATGTGTAAATCTTTTTTATATATAAACAGGAAATCACCTCTATTTCTTGTCAAGTCAAGTCGAAGGATAAATTTATTATGAATTTAGTTTTTCTTATTCTTTAATTTAAAAATGTATTCTACTCAAATTTCATATTTATATAAAAAAATCTAAATTAAATCTGTAAAAATAGAAAAATAGATAATTTTTGTACCTATTCTAACCATTAAAAGCAAACAAAAGAGCTCGGACTAGTTTCGTTTAGTAAAAAATTATAATAAGCTTTTAATGCACACTTATTGTCCTGAAAACAAACCTCAAGAGACAATTGTCTTCCTCAGCTTGGCACATGAATCTGTTGAATAGTCACCCCGGAGCGACGCAACATTTTACACCAACATTCCAGTAAAATGTATCGTTTATTCATGTTTAAAAATAATAGATCCACATGTCAACAAAAAAAAATTAAAAATATATTTATAGGATTTGTCCTAATTTTTGTTTTTTATTTATTATAAATTTATCAAAAAATAAAAAAAAATTTAATTTTAATAAATAAAAGCATCCCCAAAATTATAAAACCATTTCTTTTAATTAAACTATTTTTTGGGCTTGATCGTTTTTCATTTGGATATATTTGAATTTATCAATACCCATTATGGGTATTTCGATTTATAATAATTTTAAATATTTTGGCAGTTGATTAACCAATATTCCATAATGGTAATTTTTAAACAAAGCATATAGCAATTTTAAAAACACTTTGTCCTTTTGTCCGTTATTTTTTAATTTTTTAACCAAAAACTAAAGTAAAGTTGTAAACATAATATTTTTATAATGTTGCCTATATTTTTGTTTCGTTACGACAAAAGGTGAATTTCCAATTCATAAAAACACTTTTTATGAAAACTTAACTTGCAATTACATAATATTATAACTAGCTAAAAATGTTATTAAACTTATTTAAATATTTTTAATATTATTAAATAGTCAAAGTTAGCCCCGAAGAAGTTGTGTATTCTTAAATTATCTTTTTCTAGTTTCTTTAAAAATACGGTACGGTACGGTACCATTACAAAATGCTTTTTCAATTTTTTGATCTCAAAAGAAGTGCTGTTTATTAAATTCAAAATTTAAATTTATTATGTTTTACCTTTCAGATTAAGAATGTAATACTCTAGAAACAATAATTTGTATCTACTCTTACATTGACGAGCTGCGACTATGGCGTTTTAGTTACAGGCTGAAGTTAAAAACAGTGGCTTTTAAGCTTTTTAGTTACAATCTGAAGTTAGCTTTATTATAAATTAGGAAAAAGTGAGGTTAAACTCGGGTGACAGTTAACAGATGTCAAATTTTTTAACAAATAAAATTTGCTTTAAATTATGTTTTGTGTTCGTCGTAGATAAAGCCTAGTATGCAACTCGTTTATAAACTTCTCTAGACACTCGTTTTTATTAAACACTCCCTCGCAACCTTCGCTCGTGCCTAATTAAACTCTTAACTAAAATGGCATTTATAAAACTTGATACATTATATATCGTAAAGTGGGGTTACTTTGCGCCAGTTGGGAAAAAGTTTATAAAAGGTTCTCCACAGAGATACACTGTAGAAAACCAAACAAAGGCACAAGAATCTTCATGGTTGCATATATCGAAACATACAGCACGCTGATTTGAAGCTTTCAAGAATTCCTAAGGTGATCTTCCGCGCAAGTGAATATTTCCGGTGCCACGTGCCACGTGCCACGTGCGCTCTGAATAAAATATTTCAAACTAACTTTATAGTAGGCTGTCAAACACCATTCATTGTTTAGCTGTCATTAACTTGTCAAATTATTTGTACACAAGGAAATAAATATAAACCCTGATTTATAGATTGCCTTCCTGCCTTTCTTCCTTCCTCCCGTAAAAGATGAACAATTCGAAAATCGTAGTGTCATTTATAGATTCTTGTACGGGAATCTACAATTCAGGCTTAAGAATGAAAGTTCACATGCCATCGACTTTGGCGCTGAAACCCGCTCTCTTAACTACTACGATCACGAAGAAAATAGAAGTAAAGTTTGTGCAGCGTGTGAAAGAAAAATTGTTTATGGAAATACAAGTCCCGCGAAGTTTCGTCTAACTGAGAAACTGCAGACACTCTTAAAACAA